ATTATTCAGTTTGTTAGTGATTTTGACGCTATATAGATTAAGTATATAGATGTAGTTGGGTGCTACAAATTTGTGCAAATTTTCAAATTTGTTGTTTTTTTCTGAAAGTTACTGTTGTTTAATTAAATGTTCTTAAACATTTCCTATCAGCGTAAAGTAACATTGAGTGTTCCCATTCTTCAGAAGGGTCCCACATCGACTTACCAAACAGAAGTATGGTTTGGGAATTATCACCTTGTTTCCCTCACTCAGAGATCCCCAAGGGAGGACTGGATATGTAAGTCATTATCACTGATCAGAACATTCAATATTTTGTGTTCATTAACTCTTCCTTAATGAACATACATCTAATTTCTTTGTTCCAATCTGAAGATGGAAAAAAGTATGGCATGGACAAAATACTTGCCCCATTGGTTGATGATGTGAAAGTACTTGAGCAGAAGGGAATGACGGTGTCATTTTCTGAGGAGCCCATCTTTGGACTATTTTGCAAATTACGGGTGATAACCTAGGTCTAAATAGTATTCTTGGTTATGTTGAATCTTTTTCTGCAAAACATTACTGCAGACTCTGTCTCACTGGCAAGGTGTTAGCACAGGAATTATTTAGTGAGGATGATCCACGGGTGATATTGCGTAATAGAAATCTAAATGAGGAGCATTACAAGTATCTTGCTGACAACCCCAATAAAAACTCCTGCTACGGTGTTAAAAGAAATTCTATACTCAATACCTTGACTTACTTTAATGTATCTGAGAACTTTGTGCTGGATATTATGCATGATATCCTGGAGGGAGTTGCACAGCATGAAGTGAAACTGCTTTTTGAATATATGAGTTGCAATCTAATTTCTGGCGATTCCATTCCTCAAAGATTGTATGCCTTCAACTATGGCTTTTTAGAAAGAAATAACCACCCAACCAATTTGTATGCTAGGAATCTAATTCCAAAACACCACCTTATGATTCACTACCCTGAATGCATCAGACAAATTGGCCCATTGATTCATGTATGGACAATGAGGTATGAGGCAAAACACAGGTTTTTTAAGAGAAATCTAAAAAATTTCAAAAACCTGACAAAATCACTTGCAAAAAAACACCAGCTAGCCATTGCCTATCACTGGGAGTCCTGTACTTTCAAGGGTATTGAGTCTGGAGTTTCAAATGAGCTGTTGTCTGACCTTGAAAACTGTGATTTTATTTCAGGGCAGCTCCAGATTGATATCTCTAGCGAGGTAATGGTCACACCGTGGGTAAAGTCTCATGGTACTGAGAATCGCAGTGGTCTTGTTGTTTGCTTAGAGTTTGTTGATGATGCACATGTTTTTGGAAAGATTGTTCACATTTTTATTAAGGATGGAATTTTTTTTTGGCATCGTGTATGGAATCAGAGTTTGTTGAACACCTTCATGCTTTCAGTGTTGCTGAACAAGAGCACAGTCTTGTACTCAAAAAACCTGAGGAATTCAATAAAATCACAAAAACACAAATATATTATATTTACAACAAACAGCAGCAGACATGGTGAGAAAATGAGAAAATAAATGAGAAATTTATGAGAAAATAAAGCACGGGTAACTATTAAACAATTCTCACACTGCATGCAACATTAAAGACCTTTGACAGGCCCATGCCTTTAAAGTAAGCAAGAATTATAAGCTGAAGAACAACTGAATATCTACAGACATCACAGTTCAAGAAAAAAAAATTGTGGTGGTCTCACACTGGGAATAGGTATTTTTGGACACAGGTTGAGTTTGACACCCATTTTAAGGTTTAAATTAGACATAACACTCGCTCATGGGTCTTCAACCGTCTGCCCATCTGCATATGTATTCTCCTGCTACATAGTTGGGGACACTCCTTCTAGTTACATGATAGTTTCATCTGTCAATGCGCTTCTTGAAAGCACAAATATGATCATGCAAAGATACGAAAAAGTAGAAGCAATATACAGCTGACTATCCATAGTGCCCTTTTCAAGTTCAGCAACATTCCTTTCGTTTCTGGTAATAGACAGGACACTGGAAACTCTGGTTGGTTTACAGGTGCACACACTCTCTCACTCATCTTTCTCATCACTCTTTCTTTTTAACCTGGCTGAAATATTCATTACTAGTTTTGTGGTTTAAAGTGAGGATGTAAAAACTGAAAACTTTACTTGGGCAGCATCGGCTTATATACAATGAAAACTGCAAACAGAGTCTATACTAGTGACCTAAAAGAGTGGCAAAAGTTTCTAAACTTACAAACTTACAAAGTTAACACATACTTTAAAGGGATAGTTCACTCAATAAGTGAACTATAAGTATTTCATTTTTGGGTGAACTATCCCTTTAAATGAAACACTTGTGCGAAAACAGCTACAGATATGGTAACCAAAAGATGCTTGCTCAAAGAGGCCAGCCTTAGTTTGAAAATCCATGACATGATATTTGTTACTTTAAATCTTTCTTAATGTTAAAAAAAAGGTTGTTTTTTTTCCAAAAACATCTCTGGTATACAAAGCTTACAAACTTGTTTTATTTAATGCTCTTACTGACCATGGTATCAGACAACCCCCCCCTCCAGGAAGATGACAGCCACACCTCTCCTGTGTAATAATTATTATGCATTTTTGCAGAGGTCAGCCCTTCCCCTTTGAATATGATTCGCTATCTTTCAGTTCCTGCCACACGCTTCTGGTATGTGAACAAGAAAGGCTGTTTCATACCTTACTCACAGGTTTCCTCTCCTGGTGCTTGTTTCTGGCAGGTTATAATCTTAACTCAACATGGGATTTAATAATCAGAGGAATATGAAAATAATCTCCATCCTTTCCGTGACTGTAACCATGTCTGTCCTTTTGCTGAATTATCCTGGACAAAGGACAAATTGCCCTCACAAGGAAGGTGAGGTCTTGAATCACTCACTAAAGCAGGATGTTGGAGAACTACAGGCTTGTTCTGCTATTATCCAAGGAGACCTGGATGGAGTGGACAAGGATGTTTTCAGGAAGCTCCTGGCCTCTAAAAAAAGAAAAACTTTGCTATCAGAGTCATTCTACCTCAATGCAACCAAGGTTTGTCCATCCTACATCCGAGACAGAGGATTTCTGATGGTTTCTCTCAGTAAAGAGGAGAAATATTTCCCTATTGCTTACTCCATGGTGGTCCATGAGAAGATCGAGATGTTTGAAAGGCTCCTGAGAGCCGTTTACACTCCTCACAATGTGTACTGTGTTCATGTGGACCAGAAGTCTCCTGAGATCTTTAAAGAAGCAGTAAGGGCCATTACGTCCTGCCTGACCAATGTGTTTGTGGCCAGCAAACTGGAGCATGTGATCTACGCCTCTTGGTCTCGAGTTCAAGCGGACATCAACTGCATGCAGGATCTGCTCAAGTCACCTGTCCAGTGGAAGTATCTGCTCAACACATGTGGCACTGATTTCCCCATTAAAACCAATGCAGAAATGGTTCAGTCTCTAAAACTCCTGAATGGAAAGAACAGTTTGGAGTCTGAGGCCGTAGAGGCCAAAAAGGGCCGCTGGCAATATCATCACGACGTTAAGAACGTTGTGACTCGGACAGATGTTAAAAAGTCACCTCCACCAATAAAGACCCCAATGTTCTCAGGAAATGCTTACTTTGTGGTTTCAAGAGAGTTTGTGGAGCATATCTTCAAAAGCAAAGAGATTCAAGATTTCATGGAATGGGAGAAAGATTTTATAAAGAGTATCTCTTTAGATTTGAGACTTTAGTTTTTGCAACTTTACAGATCTTCTTTATGCACCAAGAGCTTGTAACACTCCAAAGAGAAAGGAAAAATGTAAATCGCATCATATGACCCCTTTAAAGATTTTCATCTGAGGCACCTTTAGTGACTAACCTAAATACTGTAATCACAAAGGAAACAATAAGACAAACACATAAAGTATTGATTTCCTTAAATATCACTAAAAAAACAATGACAAATAGACTAATAAGGTAATATCCTTTAACAATCATAATATTTTCCATATACCAATTTTTTAACACTTGAATTTTACATTCACCACATCTGTATACACTACTGATCTCTAATGTTTGTTAATGAGCTATTTATGAAAGCTGTTATGAAGGACTGCCATATTTCTAAGAAAGAAGTTAAACCAAAAATTATATGAAATTCTCAATTCATATGAAACGATTAAAATGAACATGAAAGTGAATGTATGCAGAGGGGTATAGAATAAGAAATCGTCAAAAAAGGACACAAATAGCAGTACAAAAATATTCTGTGGGTATCTAACATAGAAACAGAGCCAATTCATGCAAGCCATTTGATAAAATCTCTTCCTGTTAAAACCACAGAACCGTGAACAGTTGAACAGTATGCCACTGTGCACAAAGATAATGAACACTGAACCAAAACTGTGTGTAACTATGATACTGGAATTCCACTTGTTAGCAGGTGTATAGATTGTCTAGGTAAAAATGCAATAAAATAAAGAGGTCAAATGTTAATTTACTGTGACCCAAAAAGCACCTTCTTGTAGATACCTTAACCACACTCTACTCTTTCACTTTTTCTACTGACAGCCATTCAAGTAACTGTGTATTCTGAATGGTTTCTTTTACAAACAACATATGAATCAATAAACGTTTATTATATTATGAATGTTTATATTTAATATATTATAGTAGATGTTTTTAGCAGTGCCCAATTTTGTTTTGATAGATCTTAAAAGTATGAAATGAACCAGTCTGGTGCCTTTCATGCCAAGGCTCTTTGCTAGATAAGGTAAAGTGCCCATTTTTTGGCTCCATCAGCCTGTTAGTATCGTCATCACGTGATTGATCAGATAATACAGCTCAAGTGATAGTATCAAAAACAGTTGTTTATCTGTGCTAGCCAAGCAAACACAATTGAGATGAATGGATATTCTAAGCTCAGTGTGCTTAAGTAAGCCTGTTTGACAAGCTGATATCTTGGTGCCCTCTACTGAAGAATCATTTAAATAAACTCTGACTCTAGTACAGTATGAGAAATAGTGGCATGTAGAACAAACTCTACTACAGAATGGCTTCACGTTGAATATAATTTTGACCAAACTTCATGTGGACTCGAAGCGTCTGTAACTTCTTTTAACAGCAATGATATTAACCAAACCAGGGGCGATTCTAGGATTTTCATTTTAGGGGTGTTTAGCCCCCAATGAGGGTATTATAATAATAATAATAATAATAATAATAATAAAACCTAAATAAAAAATTTTTTTTGATTTACATATGGTGGTATATTAAAACGTATTCCAGTATTCCATTGTATTACATGAATGGGTATAACATTTGAGTTCTGAATAAGCCAACTACAAGTCTTCCTGATCTCTCTCACTCACACACACTCAGTCACACACACCTGTTCACTGTACATA